TTATGCTGTGAAAAAAGTTGTCGCCTGATTTTAGAGTTTGGTGGGAACAAGGAGGTCATCTAATACAGACTGAGAGGGTCCCAAGCTAGCAGAGCACATTCCACTTGGAGAGAGCTGGGGAGTGGAGTAGGGTGAGGTGCAGGAACTGTGATTTAGCTCTTGCTTGTCATTAGGTTCGGCTTTGTTTGTTCAGCCTTTGTCCTCGGTACCTTGAACAAGTCTCTTTTCCTTCTCTGCTTCCCTCTGGGTCAGCCCCACAGAGCTGTTGTATACTGTCCTGATGACCAAAGCCTCCTCCTGTACTTTGTCTCATTTCAACAGTCCCACCAGGCTTTTACATAAAAGAAAGTAAACTTGTCTGGAGCTGCTTCTCTGTGTCAGAAATGTGTTCACCTTGCCCAGAGATGAGACCTATGGGAGCCTCAGCCCTTCAGGAATGGTCCTGCCACATGAGATCAGATATGTGGGAGAGACAGTGCAGTCTAGGACTCAGAAAATTGCTGGGACTTTATTCATAGCTTACAGTTCTTTTTGCCCTATGGTTTTGATGACATGCAGGCACTTGGGCTCTAAGCTTCAAGGGAATATGTAAATATTTGCTGCCTTGCCACTTGGTTCCAAAGGCATGACTGTCATGAGATTGTGCATGTTGGGAGCTGGTCATAGCAGCCAGCTGCCTGGACACACACACACACTGCCCACGTCTAATCTGACCACTGCCTAACTTACACACTTATTTCTAACTCCTGAAATTGAAACTTTTCATTTGATTAAATTCATGGCATCTTTATAAAGTTTAATTGCAATAATTGACTTTACTTCTGTCTCAACAAAGAGTAGATATCTCCCTTGACACCGCTGAGCACCCATTCACATTCTGAGGACTTATTGAGCATATGGGAGCTGTTTATTGACCATATGTGGAGCCACTTTGGATTATCTCCTGATTGCCTCTTAATTCTGTCAACAGAGAAGGGCCTGCTATGCAGGGGGCCAGTGGGGAGGTAAGATACATTTCAGATAGAAAATGAAAAGCAGCCATTTGTCCATCTTAAATCTTTACTTTTCTTCTGCATTTAGAATTACATTTCTGTTCTTGTTTTGGTCCTTATTAAAATGTAGAATGTGCCCTTTTACCTGCCAACATACAGTATCATTAGTCTAAATAAAAATAACATGGAATCTATGAGTCTCTGAGGAAATTACCTGGGAGAAGAAATTGCTATTCCAGAAATGGAATTCGTTGTCCTCATCATCATTTTGTTTCCACAGGAACATATTTCTCAAGGAAGGGAAGGCAAGGCTATGAAAATCACCGCACCCATGGGCACCAACTTCTGTAGCCACACAGAATGTGAGGGGGACATTTCTTGCAGTTTGAAATTGGTGCTGAATATCATGTTGTCTCTGGCTGGCCCTCACTGTGTGTCCACAGCTCAACCATAGCCATTGCCTCCTCCTGGACTTGTGCCTGCTCTGCCACCAACAGCTGGTCCAGGTGTTCATTGTGCAGTCAATTGTTTTTCAGCCCCTAGACTGCTTGAGGTCACTTTGACTTTGCTTCACTCTCAGTTAGTAAGTGTTTCTTGAGGGCCTGCTGTGTACCAGGTTCCAGTGGCTAGCTAAGGACCACAAAATTGGAGTAGTTGGAAGGCACCTAGCCTACAAAGAAGCTACACTCATGAGGACAGAGAGCAGTGTGGTAACTGTCAATGTTTTTAGAGCTCCAGAAAAGGAAGGCCAGTGAAACTAGGGGGCCCGTGAAAGGAAGCTATCTAATAGCCTCCACCCCCTGCAGTGATAGGCCAGAGGATGGGCAGGCAGACTAGGGAGTGTAATAGGATGGCTAATAAGTCTGTGGTAGAACCCAGGGACTCCAGGAGCTATCCCAGAGATGTTAAGTCCAATCCAGACATGCCACTGGTCCTGCAGTAGAAGCAACAGGGATCTGGATCCACCAAGAGAAGTGAAATTATTTTAAATGGCATTTGGGGAATCAGTGAACAGCTGTAGCTGGGCATCCCACACAGGGAGGACAGGGAACAGGGAGAGCAGCACACTGACATTGGCAGCACCCATATTTAAGGACCAAGGTACCCAAGGAAGTCACTCAGCTGTTCACTGTGATGTGAGAGGACCCTTGTGAAATCCAAGAGGTCTGTCAAGAGGGACAGAGTATCTGCCATTTCACAGTTGACAAGGGATCAACAGCAGGAAGCCATATCACTAAGATGGTTTATGGAAATATAGTATTGTAGGAGTGGCTCCTACAATGGCTGAGAGCTCCTATAAGTGGATGATTGTGCCAGGGGATAGGGCAGGAGAGACGAAGGAAGCTAGGTATCCTAGAGGCATAGGAGATGTCAGAACTAGACCTCTGCAATGGAAGAACCACTTAGTTGACCCTCTTGGGGCTGCCCTGTTGTCTTGCTCCAGTATCAGCTCATCCTGAGATGTTTGTCAATCTCAGGCCAGTGCAGCATTCTGGCCATTATCCCTGGTTATTGTGTACTCAGCTCCTTCATACTCCCTACTGAGGCTTCCTCCCTCCTACTGCCAGCTCCTGACCATACTCTGCCCTTTCTCCTCAGTTTCCACACAGCAGCACCATCCTCATAGACTTAGGTGGAATCTCCCTGTCTGATCTTGTGTACAAGGATTGGATCACAGGCAAAGAAGAGAACACCCCAATAGGATAGCTTCTGCCAATGCCCCAGAGAGCCATGAGCTGATGCTGAGGCAGAAAGACTTGTGGGGCACAGTGGGCAGCAAAGGAGAAGGCACTGACTTCCTCCTTCCTCCTCTAGACTACTGGGTCTGGAGCTAACTTTGTTATGAGTCAGGGCAAATACCTTCTTAGCCTGAATCACTATTCCTATTCCTATTCCTATTCCTATTCCTATTCCTATTCCTATTCCTATTCCTATTCCTATTCCTATTCCTATTCCTATTCCTATTCCTTCAGTCTTACCACTGCAGTTGCAGAGGGTTGGCAGTGGGAAAGAGAGGGGACTGTGACAGGAAGTGAATTAGACAGGGCTGCAGCAGGCTTCCACCTCTGCAGCCAGCAGTGGGCCTGTGCTTGGCCTCCAGCACAACAAATCCTCAGCAAGTGGGGGAACAGACAATGGAGGTGGCGCAGGGCACCTGCCACCCCTGTGTCTCCTAGTAAGTTCACTGAAGGCCACCACAGCATGACTTCTGTACTGAGGCTGCAAGCTATCCCAGGGTATGAGCCAGCTTTCTAAAGGGACAGTGATGGGGCTGTCCCTAGTGTCACAGATGCATGCCACCCAGTGGCCACCTATGCAACCCCAGATCTGGTCATTTCTGCAAAGAAAGCAAGCCAGAGCCAATATCAGAGGTTCTCAAGACCTCACTGGCAAGCCTTTGGCCAACATGTCGACCCAAACCTGCCCTGTGCTTCAGTTTGTTTTCTAGAAAAAGAAATGCTCAACTGTGGTTTTGACAGTTCAAGAAAGTGGGGGGAAAAAGGGAGAGACCCTGCAGGTTCCTTGGCCACCTCCTCACAGGGGAACGCATCCCACAGTCTCCCATGATAGACCAACTATGGGTAATAAGCAAGTTTTCAGTGAGAAAGGGCAACTGGAATGAGGATCTAGTCCCATGTATCATGCTAGCCTAGAGGACCTGGTGCCCACACGCAGAACCCAGGAATGCCATGTTGCAGCACACCTCTGACTTGCCATCTGACATTGAGCAGGAGCCTTCCCAGATCATCATCAGAAAGATGGGCATGAAGTAACCAAGTAGCCCAGTGGAGATCTCTGACCCAGCCAGCATCATTTTTAATGGGAATGGTGATTGGGCTCCATGGGCAGGTGGGGAACTCTGAGCAACTGTGGCTTCCCTGTAAGTCTAAAAGTAGTTCCAAATTTAACAATTTATAACAAATCAGTAAAATTTCACCTAAGTTATATACCCGCATCAAGATTAAAACCCTTTCTGGATTCTGGCCTGTGGCTGCAACTCTGAGCCTCACTGTCTATCCTGCTCTTGGGTTCTTCAGAAGCTATGCCTGGCAGACAGCCTTATGTAAGAGCAACCAGTCTGCTCCCAGCCGAGTCCCTGTCCCCCAGTTATGTAAGAGGATATGTTCATGAAGCCGCATACATCATTCTGTATTGGGCTTGTGTGCTGGAGCCACAGAACTGTTTCAGAATGGTGCCCAGAGGACTTTTAAAGCTGGAATAAAATAAAGCTGGAATAGGTATGGACAGGGGTCTTTCACTGTAGTTCTCCCAGCAGGTGCAACTGAGCATAATCCCAGGTCGTACTGAGGATGTGTTGCCCACCATGAGTGTGGTAAGCTGGGTCCCAGTGCCATGAGAACCAGATACGGTTAGCCAGGTCCACCAGCCAGAGTGAGATCCCCTTCCATTCAGGCCAGTACTCAGGCCAGTACCTAGTGTTTTGTCCTTGAGAATCACCAGCATCCCCTTGGGCTTCCATGACCCTTGCCCGGAAAGGGTCTGCAGAGTCCTAACTGTGCCAGCAATGGCAGGGAGTCTCTAATATGACTTACACAGGGAGTGGAGCAGGTCGACAGCACCTGGCCTTCCATGCAGGGGGCACTAGCTAGGCCTCCTCCCCCTGGCTCATAGACCTGCTTCCAGTAAGACATCTTATCCTGCCCAACAGCCACCACAGAATCCCTCACTGCTTGGGGAAAGGCAAGCTGCCTGCCAGAGAGGGTCACGTCAGCGTCAGGAACCACCCTGGAGGGGGCGAGGATTCTTAAGTTTTTCCTAAGCCTTTTTCTCACATCATCTTAAAGAGAAAAAATGTGACAAACCAAATGGTTATAGTGTGCTGCCAGCACCACTGGCCCTGGCACTGAGCTCCCCTTGGGTGACGTCTGCAGCCTGGGTCAACTCAGGACAACTCCAGTACACTGACCCAAGCTCCAAGCCTTCCCCAGACCCCTCGCCCTAAGGGCCATGCACTAATGCAGGATGCTCCCTCTGTTTTCTCCCCAGGCAGGCCTGGGACCTTGCTGTGGACATTTGTCTCTCTCAGCTGCCAACAATCATCGAAGAAGGCACTGCCTTTAGGGTGAGTCCCTCCATGCATCTCTGCAGGTGCTGCTCCCTGTGCACCTGCTCTGCAAAGCCCAGCCTAGGAGTGGTACTCTGGTCTCCAGGGTATCAGGGGTTCTGTGCCCTGCCTGGAAGATGTATAGCTAACCAGGCTGTACAAGATTGGGTCAGTCAAGGGGTCAGAGTGAGGTTTTGAAATGGTTGACTTTTTAAAAGCCATTACCTTGAAGTGTTAATCTTCTAAATGTGTTTTCCTTAATGTTGTTCAAAACTCTGACCTGGTATCAGGAGTGAATTACAGGCTCTTTCAAGGCCCAGGGATAGTGACCTCCAAGTCCCACTATGCCAGTGAGAGCAGTGGAATTACTTTGCCAGATCCTGCCCACCCCAGTCATGACACTGGTGTGGGAAGGATCCCAGGGTCCTCACAGCAGTGAATTTGACTATAACCTAGGGTCTTCGCAGCAGCCTCTTCAGAGCCCTGTTGGTTTTTTATTGTTGAATGATTGCTATACATGAGACACAGATATAAATATAAGTTCCATTCCTGCCCTCAAATGCCAGTGAAGAGTCACCCATGCCAGAGCTGAGCATAACTTAGGAATTTGGAGGGCACCTTAAGCTCAGGAGTAAAGAGTAGCAGCCTGACAGTGGCTGTGTAAAATATCCATGCCATCCACAAGACTAAGACATGAGGCAGCTTGAGACTGGGTTAGCATCTCCATGTCTTCTCCATACCACCAGAGAGGCCATCAGGTTTCAGAGCCAGAAGCTGGCCCTCCTGCCACAAACTATTAGGCTGGGCCCCTGGGCCTCAATTTATTCATTTTAAAGAGGAATTCTTCAGGAATACAAGGGGAGTTGTGAGGCCTATATATGCTAAGGACAGAGCTGGCATGAGGCGCATGTTGCTGGTATGTGCCTGCTCAGATCACCATTCATAGAACACCAGTCTTCAGGGTAAGCATATCACAGCTTTAAGCCAGAGTCAGGTGCACAGTGGCCATGCATGACCCCAGACATCTTAACCTTCTGGAACAGGGACATGTACACAGGTACACATGTGGGTATGGGATGTGGAGCAAACTGTACTGATGTACCCCAAGGTCAGAATGACTGGGCAAGGAGTCTTGTCCTTTTGGTCTTATATTGACCTATTTTTATTTTTATTTTTATTTTTATTTTTATTTTTATTTTTATTTTTGTGGAACCGGGGATTGAACTCAGGCCCTTGCGCTTGTCAAGGAAGCGCTTATTCCACTGAGCCATCTCCCCGGCCCCTATTGATCCATTTTTATTGGTTGACTTTTAGATAACACTGTGAAAATTTGGAAGCCAAGAGTAAAATTGGAAATACTATCTAATGAGTGGCCTCATATCCACCACTTAGGGCTACCATTAGCATTTACCCACTGTGCTCACATGTCAGTCTGCCCATCCGTCTTTGTTATGCATTTAACATCCATTGCAGACTGCCCTGGGTTTCTGAACTGTAAAGTGCAGCTCATATGGTTTCCCCATGGTTCCACCAGTGTTTTTCGTATTCCCTATTGGACTTCTAGACCAAAGCCTTAACTGTAAACTCTTTGGAGCAGGGACAGTGTCCCCTTTTAAATCACAAACCTCATTGCTGGCCCATGCAGGATGCCACCTGCACCCACCTTTGTCTTTTGGCCTCCATACCAACCAGAGTAGTACCCTAGGGCCTGATCTCCTATGAAGGATGGGACCTGTCACTGCAAATGGATGTCTGGAAAACGGGTTTTTGTATTCCAGGCATGGTTTTACTCTGTGCTTTTGGGGGATCAGAACCCTGCTCTTCTTTATATAAGACAGTTTCTGTTTGTTATGTGTGCTCCCTCTAGATGGAACATTTCCATTTCAATGCCAGGTACTTTTACCAAGGATCTTTTCAAGGATCTTACTGCATCATTTCTAATCTGCCTATTCTGTATGTGGAAATGATTGTGCCAAACTGGGATACCAGGAAAGGAAAGGGCCACCTGATGTAGATAGTGGACTAGCTCACTAATTTTATTTTCACTTTTTGTTATATATAAAATGGTGTTTTGGTTTTTGGTTTTTGGTTTTTGGTACTGAGGTTCTAACTCAGGACCTTGCCACACAGACTCTTACGCTACTGAGCTGTCTTCCTAGCCCCTGTATGTACTTTAAACATACAGTTTGGTGAATTTCTGTCACTAAACACATTTCTGTAACTATACCCAAATCAAGCCTCAATGCACGAGCAGTGTGGTGGTATCCAGACCCCGCTGTGGCCTCTCCAGTGGTGCCTTCAGGACAGATTCCACGGCCCGTCACATTTGACAACCCATCCCTCAGCCCACTCCCACAGCCAGGGGTTTCATACACCCTCATTCCCTTTGCCTCCTACCCTGGCATCCTACATTTCAGCTGTTCCTGCCAGGGCCCAGCCTCCCTCCCTCTGTACTCATCTGGATCTTCCTCATTAGCTCACAGACATGCCCTCATTCTCCCATCTGTAAACTACATTCATGATCCTTGTGGCCACCAACCTACTCTATAGCCTCATTGCTTAAGAGATCTATACTTGAGTTTCTGTGTTCCCTTTTCCTCTATTCTCGTCCACTCCAATCCTGCAGATACCCATCCCCAAGCCATTCTTAATGGTCGTGGTGATCACTGTTGCCAAAACAGCCAATGGTCAGTTCCTAATCTTGATTTTACACAACCCAAACCCAGTATTTGATGCTATTTTGCATGTTGCCCGCCCTGGCTTCTAGGATACCACACCATCCTGTCCTCCAGACTATGACTTTCATGGTCTTTTGGCAGGTTCCACCTCATCTCATTGACTCCCTATGTATCATCATCCCAAGCTCAGTCCTGCGTTCCTTCTCTTACTCAAAAAGGCTATGTACCAGTGAGTGACCCTTTAGGCTGCACCTGGCCAGACCTTTCCCAAGTGATAGACCATGTATATTTTCATGTGGATACCTGATGGACTCCAGGAGAGTCTATGCCCCAGGCTGAGGTCCAATGCCCTTTTCCAGCTGCTCCTCTCCACTTTACTGGTGCTGACTACATCCATGAGGTGATCAGACCAAAGCCTCCTAGCCCCTTCTTGACCCCCTATGCTGCCCACATCCAGGCTGCTCACCCTGCAGCTTTGCCTTGTCCTGAGACCAGAGCTAGTGGTTGCTTCATAGACATGACTGTTCCTCTGCTTCTCCCACAGCACAGCCCATTCTTTGCAGAGCAACTAACCGCATTCCAGGTATGGCTCACAATGGGTGTGGAGAACAGGAGCCCCCCTGAGCAGCTGCCCATCGTTCTGCAGGTAAGTTGCTTCAGACAGAAGCCAAAGCCCAGAGTCCTCAACAGGCTCATTTATCCATGACAACCTGCATGTACGTGTGTGTGCTTGCGTGCGTACATGAAAGTCTGGAACACCAGCCCCTCTTCTGCCATGCTGTGCTCTGGGCCAGATGGTAAATAAATCACATGGATCCAATTGAAGGAGCCAACTGCATACTTAGACCTAATGGACGTTCCTGGTAAAGTCAATGAATTTCCTTCCCCAGGCCCCAGGTAAATATGTGTTTGAGATGAAGTCTGCTCTGCAGCTGCCCCCAACCCCCCGTTTATACTTTAGAAATGGATGAAATGCTACTATCAAGAGCTTCCTTTCAACACAGGCTCTTGGCATTTTTGCTTGCTTTTTGGAAGGACACAGGATGTAAATTAGTCCTATGAGGAAAGAAAGAAGTGCTCCGTACAGATTATAAATCGCTGCAGTGGGCTTCCTGACCTAGCCACTATGTTGACTAAAAGAGCAATCAGTACCTAGACCCAGAAGCCATCAGCCTTCCTTTGCACCTGGGCTTTGTCCACACAGTGATGTAAGAAATGGGTGTGCCAGGGGACCTGCCCCTTAGCTCAGTTCTTTAAGTGGCTGCTTCAACAAAGTAGTCAGGTTCAGGTTGCTGTGGTTCGATCCCTACAACTCAAGCCAGAAATGGGTGTGCCTCTCTGAAGCCAGTCATTCATACATGCAGATTGTCATTCCCTATGCAGATTGTGAGCCCATCGTGGATGGGAGGTCAGGTTTGTGTGTCCCACCCACCTGTTCGTTGGTTAATGAGATGGGACCTGCATACTAAAGTACATCCCAGGTAATAAGATGAAGAGGATTCCAGTGGGCATGTATTTGCTGGGAGTGACATGTGGGCTGGGTTGCAATGTAAGAAAAACTATTTTACTCTGGAACAATATGCAGTAGGTTTTTAAAGCACTGGACAGTGTCATACCAGGATCTAATAACATACTTTAGAAGTGTGAAAACACATGTGTAATGAGGGTAGGAACTGTTCAACTAGGGCCCAAAGCTGTGTAGTCAAGCATAGAAGGGGTGGGAGGGCGTCTCCCATATCCATGAATATATCTGGTTGCGGGGGATGAGGGATTTAGAGCACAGTGTCCCCAAATGGGAGACAGTGCCATGAAGCAGCAGGTAAGATCATCACTCCCCCCAGTACTAATCAGGTTATTCTGCATCCCTTAAATGGGGGCGTAAGTTTTATCATCTACCTGTCCAAGGCCATCTGCCTCGCTTCCAGGAAGGGCTTGTACTTTCTTATGAAGGCTGCTAACTACGTTGTAATGGACAGCACCATCCATCTTCACTGGACCAAATGTTCACTGAGTGGCTCTGCTTCTGAAAGACCATTTGAGAAGCAGAGGCTCAGTTTATCTCTGTCTCACCATTGAACATGGCAGCCCTCCCTTCTGCTCTTAAGTGTGCTCTGCCTTGTGCCAGCCAGCCTTGCAAGCTTGGGAGATTATTCACCTGCCACAGAACTGAGACTTCTTTATCTAGGACTTTGCTCAAGAATCCAACCTGAGCTGGTGATGTAGCTCAGCAGCACAGTGTCTGCTTGGCAAGCACAAGGCTGTGAGTTCAATTCCTGATAACAAAAAAGGAAAAAAGAATCCCAGCCAGCAAAAAAGGCGAGAAGAAGGAGAATATGTAAATGTAAACTGTAACAATAGCCCCTTCCTGCTGGCATCACTAATCAGGTGGGCAAGAAAGAATATCTTTGTGCCATATTTCACTATAGATATTTTTGGTGCTTTTTGTATACTATCACTGCTTCTTGTCTGACATTATAAAAAGAATGTAAAAATGGTTACTGTTCCCCTTCTATGCTTCTAGATTAGTTTAAGATCACCCGGGATTGCAAGGTGAGCTGTAGACAAATAAGCAGATTTTCTAAAGAACAACAAAAATATATAACAGTAACAACTACAAAACAAACCTGGGTATTTGGGAGAGGTAGTAGCCCCCAGATGTGTGCAGAAAGTGCAGGCCAGAAGCAGACTGGGAGTTAGCTAGCCATCCTCCACAGTCCCTCTCAGGCTGTCACTGGAGTATCACTGACCTTCTCATCTCAGCAGTGTAATCGAGTGAAGTTGGTCCTCCCCAAAGCTGAGGCACAGTGCCAGGCATTAATGTTCCATTTATAATTCACACTCCGTTGTGCGAAGAGAGGCCCTCTACAGCCATCTTTCTGATGCCAAAATAAGAGAAGTAAGTGTGAAGAGAACATGAGGCATTTTCTGTGTGACCTTTCAGGCATATTCAAGAAGCAGGCTCTTCATCACCATAGAAGGGCTCTCTCTCCAGCTGTGCCCAGCCTGGGTCCGTGGATAAATGTTTACTAACAAGATAGTCAAGAGAGACAATGTACAGAGGAATGACAGCCTTATTGGCATGGCCTGCACGCAGCCTCTAATCTTTCTGTTACTTCCCCAGGCTTTGTTTTAAGAATCTTTATTATTGTCGAAGCCTGCACCCTGTTATCTCTATATTACTTGGCAAGGCAGGAAATGGTACTTAAGTGAAGAAGCATCTTAATACAGACTTCATAGGCTTTTGCAGATTTTTACCACTTTCCCCATTAGCCAGAGTGACTTTTTCTCCATCCACAAACTCAAAAATACTAGCTGATGACCATATTAGGGATCCAGTAAGAGGCTTCACCAGGCTCTGCTGGGTTCTTATCCCTCAGATAAATATAAACATGGAAGTATACCTCTCCCAACAAACTCTTTTATGTCCTTTTCTTGCCTGTTAAAAATGCAAGTTGGAAGAAGAAATAGGAAGGAAACTGTAGTTTTTCAATTGCCTTTTTCTCCCAACTCCTGATTACTGATAACTGCTTGAGGAGTTATCCCTACTCTTATGAGGAGCTTTCCAGTCTCATACCCTTGTGATGATCGTCTGGCTCTGTATGGTTCTCCATAGGACTTTCTTCCCTGTCTGCCTTCCCCTTGGGTAATAGGTGGGCAGAGATGGCCCAGGCTAAAAAATCAAGCCGGTTAATACTGTAGAAAAGCAAGGAAAGAATTGTTTCATAGGGTAAAAGTTTAGTACCTGTGTAAGTCTGTATGAAATAGAAGAACCCTGTTTGCTCTCAGTGTACTCGTTTATTTTCTGAAAGTGCAAAGTTATTCCTAGCAAGCAATGTAGTCATGGCCTGGAGTGGCCTTATACATATGCATACATGTCGTCTACATTGGCATCAGATGCAGTAATTGTGCTGTTCCTCAAGGTTCCTAAGCACCCTGGTCGGCAGATACAACCCAGGGATAGACCCCCACAGTCAGCTTACCATAAAGCAGCTTTGCTGGCAAGCCCCAAGCTGGAAGTCTGAGTGCTGTCTTTGTACAATAGGCAAATGGAATTACCTCAGCGAGCTCTATTTTAACTGTTGTTAATGCAGCCACAACGTAATCATTAGTCTGGCTTGGCACCCATGAAAAGAAACCACAACAGCTCATTTAGATTGCTGCCATTGATCTCCATAATCTCCATGTATCCCGAGGTAGTCTGAAATAGGAATTTGAGAGTTTTTTAGAGAAGGTTGTTTTGTCTTGATTTTGTTTGTCTGGTTTGCTGTTTTCCGTCTAGGTAGCCAACCCAGGCAGGACTTTGTGAACACTAGGCTAGAACTGTGTCACTGAACTATACCCCAAGACCTATTTTGTTTTTAGTTTTAAAAAGACATATGTAGCCCTATATCCCCCCCAAAAGCCAATCTATTTTTTAAAAATAATTTATGTTGGGCTTCAGTTTCTTTTTTTTTTTTTTTTTTAATTTTATTTTATAGAAATGTGGGTATGTACTATCATAGCCT